CGGAGGCAGACCACAGGCGCCGGCAGCCCCACGGCCATGACTCTCCCGCCGCCGCCGCCGCCGCGGCTGCCACTGCCAGACTGGCTGACGGATCAGCATCTATTTTTAAGCCATGACAAGCACGTCGAAGCGGGGCTCGTTTCTGTGTGTGCGTGTGTATGTGTGTGTGCGCCACACGCCGGGACACAGTCTCACACCCGGTGGCCCGAGTGGAGGCAGGCGTGGGCCACGCAGCCCGCATCCCCTGCGGCTCCGCCTTGCAGGCATGCTCGTGTGTATGTGTCTTTTCGGAGCTGCGCCAATTACAGGCACTTTGCCTAAAGCTGACGTTATGTAAGTCGTCCCAGAAGGTGCCTTAAGCACACACGCTCCTCCCCAGGCAGCGCTGGTTAATTACATAGACACGCGGATGATGCCCACTCATTCGCTGCATGTCTCATTCTCAGGAACACAGTGGCACACAACTGTTGCCTGTACCTCTGATTAGCAGTTACTATACACCATGCGCTCCCTCTATCATAACTCTCTTTATCCTCACCACAAGTCTAGGAGGGAGGTCGTATTGTTATTTTGTACCCATTTTATGGAGGAGGATATACAGGCACAGAAAGGCTAAGTAACTGGCCCAGGGCTCTGGCTAGGCATTGCCAAAGCTAAGTGTCACATCCTGGCTGCCTGCGGCTGGGAAGTTCAAGTCCTTAAGAGCTTTCTAAATAGACCCCACCCTCACCCCCTTAATGGAGAAGGCACAGGGGATTTCCACCAGGGAGCCACTTCCACCAGCTCAGCTCCTCGTGAACGTCCTTTTCTCTGAACCCTGAAGAAATTCATGTGCTGCTTCTTGGTCGTATTTAGCTTCATTTGCCTTTAAACCTTAAGCACCTTGTCCACTCCAACATTGTAAATATGCTGAAGGTAAGGACTGTGTTGTGGTCCCCAGTGCCTACTTCACTGTATGATGGGGGAATAGGGGGCAATAATGAATGTTATCCGGTGATGCTTTGAGAACCAGGAAGACTTGGGCTCCAGGAGAGTGGTCTGGCAGGAGGAAGGGAGGAAGTAGACAAGGGCAGGCAGGCATAGGATGAGAAGATGGTATCAACTGTAGCTGAAATCAGGACTGACTACATTCCCAGAGGGATGGTAGATCAAGCTTTGAAATCTGAGTCAGAGAAAGTCCTGGCCAAAGTGACATAACCCCAGGTCACTTCCGTGCTGTAGGGGAGGTTCCATCACAGGCTGTCATCGAAGATTAATTACCCTCCCTAACATTTTCCTCTCTAGAAAAGCAAACTTGATTCCTTTCCATTTTCCTTGTGCCTTCTCGGTATGGCAATTTACATGCAGAAATGCACTCCTCATCATTTAAAACAAAGAACTGACCTGGGAAATTTGGAAGTTTATAGATCCAGGAAAAACTCAGGGAAAAACAGGTCACAAATCAAATTGTGAAAGAGCACATATCACACACTAACCTCATCTGAAGTGACAGCGTCTTTAGGGATTGGTGGGTTGAGATGTTCTAAGTGATGAACATCATCTCAATCTTTAGCAAGACTTCTGTTTCAATCCTGAATTGTTCTTTTCTCAAAGCTGGGAAAATATCCTTTAATAAAGCATACCGTGGACAAGATGGGCAGATGGTGAACCACAGAAATTGTCCATGGATCAACATCTTCACCAGGACCATTTCCAGGGGTCAACGTACAACTCAAGCGGCTTCACACTTTTCTTTGTTACCAAGAGGTTTATTATGTTTCAAAGAAGCTCAACTAAGGATGGAGAGAAGGGGGGAAGAATGGAGGAAAGAGTTAGCAAGGAGAAGGTAATAGAGAAGGTGGGACAGGGAATGGGAGGAAGGAAAGAGAAGGGTGCATTGATGATTTATTATCTGTCATTCCTTAGACCTTCACATTTATCAGCTCCTTTAATTCCCTCCCCATCCTTTTAGGTGGGTATTATTATCCTCATTGAGACACATGGAGACCGACACTTGGCCAGATTAGTTAACTCACCCACAGCTAGTAAATGGTGAGGCAGGGGTCCAAGCCCAGGGCTACCTGATTCTCTAATTACGTAGAGAAAGAGGGAGAAGAAGTTCAATAAGTGTAGTGAGAGGGGAAAGACATGCCAGAAAGACCAACAAATAGATGTTAAATGGTAATTCTAACTGCTGTCATTTAACTATGGTCTCTGTGGCGCTGTGTTAAATGCTTTTCACATATGAGCTAATTTAATCCTATGAAGTAGGTATTACTAAATCCACTCTACAGCTGAGGAAACAGGTTTGGTGGTGGGAAATCCATTCCGCAGCAGCCGAACAGCTCCTAAGTGGGATTTGGGCATGGGTTTAAACCTAGAACTCTTTAAAACCAAAGCCTGGGTCTCAAGCCACTGTAGTACGCTTAAAGAAAAACCGCAGTGATAGTTAAACTGCATCAAGCCCTACCGTGTGCCAGGCTCGCCGGTGGCAGGATCTGGAGGTTGGGAGAAGCGGCCCTGATTTCCCCGGGGTGTCTCCCGCTGCTCTGGCGACCTTCCCGCTGAGTGGAGGAATGCAGACCGAGAGGAGCCAGGCTTCCTCCCAACCACGCCATCAGCCCCGCCACGCCCGTCTGTCCGGGGCTGGTCCTCCCCGGAAGCTGCAGGTTTAAACAGCAGTTTCACCTAAAGGTTGCAGGCACAGGGGACCAGCAGGTGTGACTTTATTTAGCGATGGGAGTGAGGTGCGGGGAAGCGGAGCAGAGAAAGCCTCCAGGTCTTTCCTGTAAGGGTGCCCCGTAAGCATACTGGGCGACTCTTCCAGATCTCCTTCCTTCCAGCCCCTGTCCGCCCCAGGTTAGCACCTTCTCTCCCCCAGAAACCCGCTCGTGTGCCTGTCCCCTCCCCAGGCGTCAACCAGGGAGGGGTTCATGGGCAGAGTTTCCCCGCCAGGGCTCCTGCAGGCTCTGAACTGGGGAGGAGGGCCAGTGTATCTTTCCATACAGTGAGAATCTGGCTTTTGCTTCAGCTCTAAACCCTTCCTTCTCCACCTCTCCAAAGCATTGCGTAGCCACTTTCTTATCAGGGTGAATGTGCATTTCTTCTAAGAAGCCCACATTTACCCCAAGGAGCATACCCCTTCCATTAGCTTGGTTTTGCAATGACAAGAAACTCTGGAGAGACGATAGTGGTCCTGAAGTGGATGATTATTTGCAACAAAACAGGATATGAAAGGAATATACAGTAAATGTCACTATTACAAAAAAAGGAGAAAAATAGAAAAGGAAAACAATGTCTGAATATTTTGAGAAAATCCTAAAGGAAATTTGGAACTATTAAAAGAGGTAAATTCGGAATAAGATTATCTTGTGCTTTAAACCGTCTACACTTCCTGCATCAGTATGAACTAATTTAAAACATCGGTTCGATGAAATTGGTTGAAACTTCCTTAGTGGCTTCACACGTGGCACATTTTAGTAAACGGTCCACAAATGCTTGGAGAGGACGTTTGATCTCTGTTTGGGGATACAAATTTCCATCTTTATTTCCCATCTTTATAGGTTTTAAACATTCTAAATTCTAATTTTTAAAAAAATTCTTAATTTTTGATCTTGTTTTACCAACTTTTGAGGGAGGGATTCAAATCCCCCACATGTTTGTGGGCTTGTTAATTTCTTCTAATTCTGTCAATTTGGGGGGTAGGGGTGGTGCCAGTCTGTGTTACTGGACACACAGATTTTACAGGGTTTTAAAAACTTATTGTTATTATTAAATTTTTTTTAGTCAGTAGGTAGTTTCTGTAAAAATTAAAAAAAAATCTTTGTTGGAATTATGTATTTCTTCTAAGTATAACTCATACTATTTATAGCTAGATTTAAAAATTAATCTATATTTTAATTAGTGACTCTTTTTATACGTATTGTGTTTACTAGTGTTTTTTAAATGTTTTCCACTCTCTTATCTGTGTTTTCTATCTGTGATACTTTCTTTTTCTTCTTTTCTCCTTTCCTTCTTTGGTTGGATTTATCTAATGTTCCTTATTCACAATACTGAGCTGTGTTGATTTGAAAGTTAAAGTTTAAATTTAATCGGTACTTTTATGCTCTCCCTGAATAAGACAAGTATTTTGACTGTAATTTCCCTCAGAAATACTTTCTCTTCCATCTTCTTTATTATTATTATCCACTACTTTGAGTCCAGCTTAAAATTTTTTTTGTTTTAATAGTCATCAGTCTCATAATGTACACAGTTTAAAGAATCAATGCATTCTGCAATACTTATAACAAAAATAGCAACCCTCTATTTTCCTCCATTCATATCCATCCCAAGCAAACATATTGAACAAGTTCAGGTATTAAAATTTTTGCATCTCTCAATATGTTCATATTGCTGTTTCTTGATTTTTTTCAGTTTTGGGCATTCCCTATTAATTGCTCACTATGAATGCTGAGGGTTTATTTCTCTTTTATCTCATACACCCAAGATATATGTAAACATTCCCTCTCCATGCATTTTTCTTATACATACAGTGATATCATAATTCTGTTGTGTAAGTATTCAGCATTTAAGATATTACAGCTGTACAGTCATTGTTCACCATTGTACCATGTTGTTTGCTATGATTACTTTTTTTTCTTGCATGACTTTCTGTTTTCCCTTCAGTTCATAATTAATTTTTGTTTTGTTGCTTAATTTTCAGTGGGTCCCTCATTAACTCAACCCCACGCTTTTCCCCAATTGCTTAAATTTCCTGTCAGTAAACATATCAGTTGTTTTTCTCAGTGTCATTTTTTTCCTTAAGTCTTCTGGAGCCTTCTGCCTCGTCCCTGGGTAGGCTGCTCTACAGTCATGCAGAGCTATTACCCCGGGATCCATGTACTTTTGCTCCTAGGCTGTGAATTCCTTTTGTCTCTGGAAGCCCTGTTCCCTGGACATCCTCTCTCCTCAATATGGTACCACCATGCTCAAATACGCCTGCTATCCCCCCAAAGGAGAGACCCTGTCTTTCACTTCTGAGAATAAGCCTTCAGTCCTATGCTGGGGAGGGAAGGAGCAGCTGCCCGACTGCAGTGATAGGAGGTCTTCGGAGTTTAATTTAAACAAACTTCCAAACCAGGCTATGTTTTCAGTTCCTCTTCCCACTTCCAGAGAGACCTAGAGTTGCTAGTTTCTTAGCCTTCTGTGTTCCTCGACTGACTTGCCTTCTGCTCTTTAGCATCCAATAGTATGTTGCTATTGAAATAGTTCCTATTCTTTTCATTCTGGTGGATTTTGTGTGTG